CTACAGCTAAGAGCTATTATCTATGTGTTTTGATCAGTTTTAACAGCAATGGTCTATAGACCTCAATTTCCTGTTCTGAAGTGCTAAAACTTATGAAAATAAACTCCAAGGCTTAGCAAGCACCCTTTAATCAAATAAAATTGTCAGTATGAATCTACCTATGCTAGCATAACCTTATAAAAATGTTTGATAGTAGCTTTTTGCACTGTGAAACCTAAAACTCCAGTACACTACAAATTTTGCAGGATAAATTTGATACATCAGTGGTGTTTTGTGGGTTTTTTTTCCTTATTTACATCATTTTTCTTCTTTTCTGTCTGTTTTACAGTGTTTTCTCATCCTTCTCTCTGTAATCCTCACCATTTTAATTATCTGTGTGTTTTATAAAATCATGTCTAATTAGAAAATTTTAAATTCCTCATTACAGCACATTCTCATGCAGAACTTGAAATAGGAATTATTATGAACTGTTTTAATAAGCACCAGCTTTGCACTCTTTAAAAGATTGGAATTGTTGTTTATATCTGTATGCACATTAGTTTACCTCAAGATGTGCTAGATTACATTAATTATCTTTGCATCTGCAACAGAGAACATCCATGATCGATGCCAACCTCATTCCTCAGAATTTTTTAAAAGTTTTGTGGGTTTTTTTTCTTGACAACGTGTTTTTTCCATACAGGGAAATTTAAAAGGGATGGACAGAGCTTGCTGCTGGAATCTGCAAGACCACTGTGTTTCATTGTGCTGCAGACTAATTGTAAATACATTTACCTTTTTATAAGGTGGGTGAGAAACTCTGATTTTGCAACTAGCTGTACTTTTATAACATTTCAATCCTGATCTGTCTCAAAAGCAGGCAGATTTATTGCAGCAGTGTCCCCATGTGGACTTCTACCAAAACAAATGTGACCAACTGAATTTTGGCTCCAGTTTTGATGCAAACAAATCCTTACTAAGCAAAATACAAATAAATGGTTTTAACCAAAGTGGTTTAAGTAGGAATTTAGAGAAAATATCTGGCAGCCAGTATCTGGAATTAGCCTTCTGGAGCCTGTGCTCAGTCCCTGCCTGCTTAGTTCAGGCTGTACAAGTCCTTGAAGCTCCTGTTATCAGAGGCAGCATTTCTCTTATACACACAGATCAGCTCACCTAAGGACATGGTTTTCACAGTCCTGGTGTAAGTCTTCACAGCACTTGGTGTAAGTCTATAAACAGGCTCAAGATACAAGGAAAAAAATTTGCTTTACGGCTCGTGAGAGTAAGCGCATCTTTTCAGCTCCTTCTGCCTGTGGCCAGAAACAAAGGTACTGCATCAAGACCTCAAAATATTTTTCTTTCCTATTGTTGGGCATTTTCATGGCAAAATTTTTATATTGCAGATTGAACCAATAGTGATCATCCCATTGAAACCAATGGGATAAATTACAAAGGAACTTGCTGCTCATAGGATCCAAGAGTACAGCAATGTAAACCCTAGTCAGCACTGAAGAACTTATTTAAATCATTTTACTGTATTTGCTTTTTTGTGAAAGTCTGCATTCAGACTGTAATTCCACAACATTTATTTGTTATTCAAAGCAATTTGATGAATAATTCTGTAATAATTGTCTCAGCTTATTGTGAATATTCAGGATTTGAAACATGAACTGTGATTGCTCTCCTAAATCAAATGCTGTTTTATTATTCCTTCAGTGAATGACAGTCTTAGAATCAAGTGAATGACCGGGGGAAAAAGAAAGGGAAAGAAGAGAATTAAACTTGAATATTATCCAGAATTTGCATAAATTAACTCTTGTGGTGGGCACTCCTGCCATGACAAAAGCAAGCTTGTTTATGAGAAGCAAGCATAAATGGCAGGCATATTGTTAAAATGCATTTGTTCAGCAATAGTGCATGCAACCTGGAATTAGACTGCTTGTTTATTTATTAGCTAAGGCCTAAAATTTGGTGGGAAATAAAAAGGGGAAAAGACAAGTAACAGGTCTGAGGAGGCCTTTAAAAAAACATTCTTGAATCCTCTGTACAGTTACAATCAGTTTAGATATTTCCCTCAGGCTCTGGAAAACATTACAATATTGAACTCAGGAATTTTGGTGATTTATGCAAATGGAAACATATACATACTCTAAATGCAATGACCTCAGAGGCAGAAGCTCCTGTTTGGCTGATTTTTACCTCCTGTTTGTTAAATTTCTAATTCCTGCATGCTTCTGCAGCAAGCCTTCCACTATTTTCTGGATGACTGAAAACTAAAGCTTGGCTGATCTCTCTTGAGCTTGGCCTGTGAGCTGTGATGTGCTGGTGCTTGAGGGTGCAGCTGCCATCACTGCAGCCCCAGAGGTGCTTCTGCTGGGTGGGCATCAGGCTCAGGCCAGCCTCCCACCACCCTCTGCCCTGGGGAGGAAACCAAAAGCGCCTGTGTGTCCTTCAGCATTCCTGGGCTGCACCAGAAGAAGCACAGTCTGCTGGTTTAACTCTGGCTGGATGCCAGGGACCCAGCAAAGGTGCTCTGTCTCTCCCCTCCTCAGCTGGAGAGGTGAGAAGAAATGTAACACAAGGTCCATGAGTTGAGGTGAGGGCAGGGAGGGATCATTCACTGTTTACTGGCATGAGCAAAACAGACAACTTGGGGAAATTAATGAAACTCATTATGAATCAAAACAGGAAAATGAGAATTAAAACACACCTTAAAACCACCTACACACGACCAGCACATTGAGGGAGATGATAAACCTCCTCTATTCTGCTTTTGCAAGGCCCCACTTGGAGTAATCTGTCCAGCTCTGGGGCAACCAGCATAAGAAGGATGTGAACCTGTTGGAGCAAGTTCAGAGAAGGGCCATGAAGATGATGAGAGGGATAGAACACCTCTCTTATGAGGACAGGCTGGCAGAGTTGGGGCTGCTCAGCCTGGAGAAGAGGCTCTGGCTTTTCTAGTACCTTCCAGTACCTAAAGGGGCTATGAGACAACAGGAGAGGGACACTTTACAACACCATGTAGTGATGGGACAAGACAAAATGGCTTTAATCTGGCAGAGGGTAGGTTTATATTAGATATTTGGAAAAAATTGTTTCCTGTGAGGGTCTTGAATACACACAGAGCAGGCAGTGGGCAGGGGCTTGGATTAGAGGACATGCTGGCTGTCAGGACTTCCCATGGAAGCCTATGAGACCAGAGTTGTGCAAAACGTGCTGCAGACTGGATGTGGCCCAGGAGTTTTTGCACACAAAGCTTCATATGCTTTCAGAGCATATTAAGGCAAACAGCCTTCTCACAGTTTAGATGTGATTTACGGTCAAAATGATGAGAGCCACAGAAAAGGTATGACCAGGTAGCAAGTCCCTGCAGCAAACCAGTGACTCTGGGACTGCTGAGGACACAGAGACTGAAGAAACATCTCTGACAGCCTTTAAAATGTGTTACATGATGGTGCTTGTGACCCTGCCTTTGCCCTAGGCTATGCTATAGCTGCTAGAATTTCAAATCTCTTTCAGTGAGTGGTATGGGCAAAGAAAAGAAATAAATAGGTTTGGACATTATACATTTTCCATTTGGGGAAAGTTAACTTTCCTCAACTTTTTTTCCCCTGTGCTTTATTTTCTTTCTTTTCCTTTTAATATTTGAAAGCCTTATTTTTTCACATTTAAAAAGTCATGTAATTACTGCTATCTCAGGTTATAGAATCCAAATGGCTTAAAATGGCTTCATATGTTAAGGATGGAGACTACCACTTTGTCATCAAAGCCTGATAATATTCAAATATTTCAATTTTTCACACAAAAATGGGCATCCACATTTTTAAGCATATTTTATTAAGACCAAAACACCGACTTTGAAATTGAAGGTCGAAGTTTTTCTGGTAAAAGCCAGGAGAGTGACACAACCAACATCATGGTAGCACACCATATTTTGTACAATGCTCTGATTTAATCCTGCTCCTTTTGTCCACACCTTTGGGTTTTGTTACAATAAGTGTTGTTAGATTTGTGTGGAGAAGGGGGCAGAAGGCTGGAAGGAGTGGTTTTTTTCATTTTAACAATAATATCCTTCTTCCCTAAAAGATATGAAGCAGAAGACTGAACAGAAAATCTAGCTATTTTATTGCCCCAAGGCATTATTCATTTTCCTGACACATTATGTTTTTAATTAAAATTGCACATGAGTTAATTAAAATGTTCATTCAGCTTTTTTTTTTTTTTTTTCTTGCATGGGTGCCTTGTTACTCTCCTAGCATTTCAGTAGAAGGCCATTACATTTCAACAAACTGCTGGCTTTATCAACTCAGACTTCTACTGACAGACTGTCATGTTTGCTACACCTTTTTATCTCAGATGTTCTAATTTTTTTAAGTACCTTCTCTAGTCTGGGGGCTGGTTGGTTGGTTTTTTTTAATATTATTATTATTATTATTATTATTATTATTACTACTACTACTACTACTACTACTACTACTACTACTACTATTACTATTACTATTATTACTATTATTACTATTATTCCAGCACCTTCCACTAGTGGTTTGAGCTCAGGTTTCTTAAGGAGACATTGTCAGGAATGGGCAGGAAGGTGAACAAGAACCTGTGAACACTGTCAACGCTCACTCTTATGGAACCTGCTCAGATTATATCTGCAATACAAGTGCACTGCAACACCAGTGCACAGTACCTTGGGAGCAACACTGAAGAAAAGGGGCATTCAGAGAAAGCAAGCCTCAGAATCCTGCAGACACCTTACTTAGACTGACCTATGTGGAATCTTTCAGATTTATGGGTTACAGGCACTGAATTTTTGATCACTGCTTTGGAAAAAGGAAATTCTAGAAGATAGACACAGACTTTTGTCCATCTTGTCTAGTCTTAAGCTCTATTTTTAAAAGGTATAGCAGGACTTAAACAGGTTGAGAAAGTGTTTCTGTTGTAGCTGAAAGCATTCTTGTTGGTATATTAGGAAGGGCAAGAAAGATTTCTCAGGCTGTGGACTAGCAAAAGCTGCTTTACTCAGTTTTCAAGGAACCTGTTTCTACACTAAAAATTCCTAAGTCATGAGTGAAGTCTGTCCTGCTTCCTTTGTGCTGGCTACATGGCATGGTGAAATGCAGTTATTTCCTCCAACCAGATTCACCAGTGCTGAGTTTGGGAATGGAGCCACAGTAGGAAGAGTTCTGTGTCCCAGATGTTAACCAGCTCCTAGAAAGGAACAGATTTCACAGATGGATCATCTCTGCTTTCCACAGAGGTTGTAAATATACATGGTGCACTTGTTAAATTCACCCTTATTGAGCATCACAAGTCAGAGACACATACAAGGCCAATAAACCATAGCCAGGGTAAAAGGTAGAAGGCATGTCAAACAAATGTTTTCTGAAGAGGTGTACAGCAAGCTGTTGTGCCTTTGCTGAAGTCTTCAAAGCCTGCAGAAACACATTGATGTTTGTAACTAACACCTTGCATGCTGGCTGCTGCAGTGGCAGGTGCCTGGACAAAACAGAGCCTTTGAGCAAAGATTTATGTTGTGTTTAAGTGCCACACATGCATTCTAACAGCAACACTGAAGCCAAGTTTGAAAATCAGACCTCAAAGCAACAGCTCCCATAACTCAAATAGAGAAGGAGGGATGGGCTATGGGGTTCAAACTCTGGGCTCAGCTAATATGCATTAGTGCCATTTGCTTTTTTCACACAGCATGAGTTAAGGACAGGCTGTCAGCTGTAACTTTGAGCTTCCTGGATGCTGTCAGCTCTTTTCACAACCTTCATATTACTGAAGTGAAGCTTTTTACATTTTATTCTTTGACTTCTTGTTGTAGTCTTCATGAGAATAATGTGATTTCGGGGGAAGTGTTGAAAGGTTTGAATGTGGTAACTAAACATTTACAAAAGATCTTTAGCCTGAAATATGTAAATATATTTCTCTCAATGGTTCAGATAGCAGTGTTTAATTTTGCAGAAAAATTGCAAAGTTTTTTTAATTTTTTATACTGAATTTATGTTCTGATGAAAAGCCCTTCAATTCAGGAAGTAGAAGAAATTATTTATTTTTAAAACTGTCTTAATATGGCAACTTAGATATCTTGCAAAGGGTGTGAAAGATAAGGTTACCAGTCAGGAATAATGTTTTACAACATCATTACCCTGATATCACCCAAAGCAGCTTTCTTTGAATCATTTCGTTTGGTATATATCTATATTTTGATTCAAATAATACCGTCCTTGGTTATACTAATATTGCTGCGTGATGTTTACTTAGGCATCAAGAGCAACTTCACTGAAACTCAGCAAATAAACCCTATTGGTTTCTTAAAGGTCCTTTAGTTTAAAATATACCTTGATATTTTGTGTTGCAAGACTATACTTAGTTCACAGCTTATTAAAAATTTGCTCCTTTATTACTTTATAATATCTATAAATTGAGTAAGAAAAACCTCCAAAAGGCACAGACATGAGAAACCTTGAATATTTTCTGGAGTTCTGGGCTCCATAATTTAAGAAGGACGTAAAGGTTCTTGAACGAGCCCAGAGGAGGTCAGCCAAGCTGGTGTGAGGGTTGAAAGGCTGTGAGGAGCAGTTGAGACTTTGGGTTTTTCTGCTTTGGAGGACAAAAGGAGGCTGAGGGGTGGCTCTGTCCAGCTTCCTGAGGAAGGGAAGTGAAGAGCGGGGTGTGGATCCCTTTTTTCAGTGAGAGAACACATGGGAATGGTTCAAAGCTGCACATGGGGAGGGTCAGACTGGACACTGGAGGCATTTCTTTGCTGAGAGGGTGGTCAGACATTGGAAAAGGCTTCCTAGGGAGCTGGTCAATGCCCCAAGTCTATATTCATGGCATTTCCATTTTCCACTACTTTCTGACTTGTGCAGTAGAGGTGGTTTTTTTCTTTCCTGTGTCTATTTCCCACTTTTACTGCAGTCTTCTGATCCTAGTAAATCCCTAGCCCATCACAGACCAAATGCCCGCCCCTACCACAGACAGCTGTGGGAAAGTCTTACAAATTTGTGTCAGTAAAATTCCAATATTTTGTTAACTGCATTTTTTTTACCAAATTGTTCATTTAGGAATATTAAAATGCTTTAAAGGTATACTGGAGCAAACAGAAGTATTTTTCTTCATCATTTTTAAACACAAATTTGAGTTAGTGGGTTTGTAATAATTAGTTCTTAGTTTAAAATTTTGTTTAACACCAGTGAAAACAAAAGTTTTATCCCACAATTTTTGCAATAGTTCATCATGCTAACAACATTTCAAAAACACTGGTTTTGAAATGGCCTGGAACATTTTTCCAACATTTTAAAGGGACTCTAAAATTTAAAAAAAAAAATCCTTTTTATCCTTATTTTTACACCCTGTAATCTGTGTACCTTGAACTTCCCACACAGCATCAACCTTTTGTGCTTTCATGTAGGAAAAGTCAACATTTAATCATAAAAGGGTTTGAGAATCTATATTAAGAATACAATCTAACTTGGTAGCTGCTGTTTGAGATCCTGCACGCTATGAATTTCATACAGTAGAAATTAAAATCTGGTATAATTTCATGACCCATATCACCTTCCTTCTCACAGATTCCAACAGTGTGAAGTTATTTCCATAAAGAAATGTGGGGATATTGTAGGAAACAAACTGGATTTACCAACAGTTCAAAGCTGTGGTGAATATTACGTTTAAAGCCAACTCCTCTCATTATAGATACGTTTAACACTTCCTGAAAATTCCCTTCAAAAAAGTAACAGTAATTTTCATCAGCTCTGGGAAAAGAGTCATCAAGTATCTCCAGGTGTAATGTATTTTTAGTAGAACCACCCAAACTGTTAGCCACAGTTGTGAACTCCGCTGAGGAAGTCTCTCGGCGCTGCGGTGGCAAGCTATCTGCCCACAGGCAGTTTCAGTGCTCCACATAGAGGTGCAAGACCTTAAAAAAAATCTAAAGCCATGCCATAAACAGGAAGCCTTTTTAAAAATCATTTTCTCCAGTTTGGAAAAGGATGGAATAATAGAAAGAGAAACAAACTGTTCTGAGAAAGGAGCAGCCTGAGGAGACTGGCTTTGCTGCAGGTCATTGGTCCTCCCCTGCTCTACCTCTCATTTTCTCACATGGGCTCTTACCTAATTCTGGCCCTGCAGAAGCCCCTGGGCGTTTCTCTAGTCACTCTCAGTCTCCCTCACTCCCTTTATGCTTTCCTAGCAATTCCCAGGAAGTTATTTCCAATAATCACCTAATTTCCTGCATGAAGCAGCACAGGATGCCCCAAGACTCCCATCATCTTGCATGACCACTTTTAGCCTGCTCAGACTTGTAAAGTCCTGCTGCTCTCTGCCCTTGTAGACACAGAGGTTAACAGAGACTAAGCAACTTTTCGTAATTGTCAAACTCCAGCCATTTAATTCCTGAGACTGGAAAAAGAGGATTTCTAAGAAGGATATTAACAGCCCTCTCACATTTTCCCCCATTAAGGGGCAGATCTGAGATGAGAAGAAACTCCAGACTGGCCTCAAAAGCTGAGCTCTGTCAGAACAGACTCCTTTCAGAGAAAGCTTCCTCAGCTAGAAATACAGGAGAGCAAGCAAGCAAACAAGCAAAACTGCAGCCACCTTGGACACATTTCCTGCATGCTCACAGATCATCCTGCCCAAGCACAGCAGTACTGACGGCCCCTGGCCAGGCCAGGCAACACCATCCAGACCTCCTGGAAATGCAGCAGGTGGTAACCTCTGCAAGGGAGATAAAGACTTGGAAATGGCAGTGATTTGTACCCTATGGAGATAACGCAGACTCACTGCTAAGAATGTATTTGGGCTTTTTCTCTATTTGTTCACTCGCCTTGAGTAAAGCCATTTGGGGGGCTTTTTGTTTGCTTTTTTCTTTTTATTGCTTTCATTCATCTGCATCATTCAAAACTAAAGCCTTGCTAGGAATGAAAATAAGGAGCTGAAAGCATTTTTTTTTCTACGCAGAGTGACAGAGCCACTGTGCAGACTTGCAGCTATTTCTACCTATATGAAGATGCAGCGGGACCAAAGGAGAGCTGTCACCCCCTAAACTCTCAAGCTGTCAGTACAAATGGGTTTGCTTCTATACTTAGAGAATTTGGGGTTTCTGTGTATGTATTTTCATCTTTTAAGTTCTCAATAAATGTGGATGGTCTCAGACAAGTAGAGAAATAAGACAATTGAATTTCTGGTTTGCTGTTCTAAATTTCACTCTGTACAGTTTTAAGGCCTTGCTGCATTTCTTACTCCCATTTATCCCCCCACTCTCCTCAGTAGGTGTGGACAGCAGGTTTACTCACTGACTTGCCAGTTGTATATGTTCAACAGCTCTAACTCAGTGACATCACTTATTAGGGAGATAAATGAGGGCAATTAAGCATCATGGCCATAACTGGTGAAACTTTCTGCAATGAGAGCATTATTAAAATGACAGAGTGCTTGTCTGTGCCTGCCCAAGGTGTATGATTCAGCCTCTCTCCTTTGCCTGGTAAAGTGACCCCCAGCAGCACTTCTCACATGCATTGTTTCTACAGGGCTATATATCACCTCTGGTGTAAACTGGCAACGTTTATTGATAGATGCCCATTTCATTTTTAACAGCCATCTTCTTCTATGTTATTTAGAGTTAAACAGGACAGCTGATAAACATTACAATTTAGTTCATGTTTGTTAAACTACTCACTTAAATAACCTCCTCAGATGCTGATAAATGGCACCTTCAGAAAGAATAGCTGCTACTTTTTTGCATAATATACCGGTGTTTAGGGCTTTTAATAGTATATCATACACACAGCCTTGCTCTGTCATTCAAAAGCCAAATGACATTTTATTAAAATATTTCTTTTTCATCCTGTTTGGCTAATGTTTCCAACAATTTTTTAATACTGGATTTGAGCAAAGTAGGGAAATTGCCATTAGAAGTGGAAAGTCCATTTTGAAAAAAACAGAAACTAGGTTTCAAGTTAGTGCTTGTTTCCCTTAAAAATTATGTTCTCTGCTTTGGGCAGAAATGTGGCTATAAAGATCTGGAAAAATAAGACCATTGCAGGAAAAAGAAACAAGTAGGAGTAATACACAGAGAGAGGTAAAGATGGTCAAATATAGTCTGAAGAAGCAAGAAAAAAAAAAAGCAGAGAGAGAGGACAAAACCTAAATATAAAACAATTATGATGCAATGAGAAAACACAAACTAGACAGGGTGCTCCCAGTAGCACCAGGATATTATAGGACTGAGCTATGGGACAGCATCCTTACCAGTCTGGGGCATCCCTGCCTCTTCTGCCTTCCTGCAGGAGGGATATGATCTGCATCCTCATGCCAGAAAACTCCACCATCTCACAGGGGGGATGATCCCAGCATGGGAGCCCTGTAGGGTTTCTTGGGAGCCCTGCAGACATGCTAGGCATGTATGGAACACACACAAAATGCATACAGATGAAGCAGCTGTGATGGCAGATCCTTGTCCTTTTGAAATGTCATAAAGTAAATGCATTGCACAGGCTGTGATGTGGCTGGCAAGAAAATGGAGATGATGTCCCTCCACTCCTGGATCGAAATGTTTCATTTTATAGAGCGCATGATTTACCTGTGCTTTGTATCCCAGCATGCACTGCCCAGAGCACAGTGCCCAGAAGGCTGTTTCCAACACTGCTCCATCGCCAGGAACATCAGGGAGGTGGAATGGGAGCCAGGAGCAGTGGGGGAGTGCAAGCTGAGGCCAGCTGCACCCTGGCCCCCAGGAGCTGCCTGGGAGAGGAAACCTGAAGCAAAGCATCACTTCTGAGGACTCTCTTCCAGGTGTGTGAAGAGGGATATAACCCTGGGGTCGAAAAACAGAGAAGAAAAGGAGACAAATGAAGGCTGGGTTTGAAAACAGACAGGCACCTACCTTAGAAAGATTTTGCAGATATGTTCAGCAGAATTTAGAGCAGCCGTCCTCTTCCTCTGAACTGTTGCTCTGTTTCCTAGATGTTAGGAGACTTTGCATTTATTGCCATTCTTTGCATCCCTGCCAAGTCTGTTACAGTGGCAAGCCTATGGAATTACGTTGCAGAGAAAGATGAAAATGAGTTACTAATTTATCTTTTAGGCTGATCTTTAAATGTTGTTTCACAGAGTTGAAAGGTGCCAAAAGTTAAGGAGAAACATACAAAGGGACTCAAGGGAGAGGAGGTGGGTTCAGACTGTGACAGGAGGCACAGAAGGCAATGGGATAGGGGCAGCTAAAGTGTCTGAAATAAAGAATTTATTTTTATGTGCTCAAGAATGTGCCTAAATTATGAGAAGGATAATGGTAAAACAGACAGAAAGTTAAGAACCATCATAAGGAATACAAGAATAACCATGCCACATCAGACCAATTGCCCATCTAGTTGGCTTCTTACATGTCACAGCAAGGTTTAAAAATGCATATTAAGCCATCTCCTGCACTGGAAATAATGTGCTAGCCAAAATGATCAGTCAGTCACTGTAGCTCCTTCTTTAAGATAGTAGTGCTCCTACTGTTAGAAAATAATTTATTCTAATGTAATGTGACTGAATGCTCTCAATAAGCACAGAAATATTTTATACTCTTACTTAATCCTGCTGATGTTTGGCTCAGTGATATCTATGAAAGGTGTTACATTAGTTAATAAGGAGTTACATAAAGACAACATTAAACATTTAACTTTGATCACTGTTAAACTATCTGCAATTCAGGTTCATTTATTGCTCCCATTTTATACTTTTGAGGAAAAGTATAGAAATAAATATTTTTTTAAAGACTGGACCAAATGTGTTTGTGGAGACAATGTTGCTTCTCTAACCTCCACTTTTTGCTTACCACCCCAATAGTCATCTTTCTCCTCAATAAGCCAGAACCTCTTTGCTGTCCATGGTCAACAGATTTCTTTGCTGCTGACTTCAGCCAAATAACAAAGCCAACTCAACACTTATGTTGCTTGACAGGAGAAAACCAAGAGGGTAGTGGTTGTTGCCATTGTCATTTCATTGAGGATGCTATTCATATTTATCATATGGTGCTATAAAAATGCAGAACCCCATAATATGTATCTTTATTGCTTCCTACATGAGATGATACACTGGGAAAAAAATGTATTCTTCAATGACAGCGAATATACATGTTTTGTGTTTCCCCAAATCTGTGGCTTTGGATCAGACAGCCTCTGTCACTCAATGAAAACAGTATCATGGTGTCATAGGTTAACAGAATAACAAAGAAAATCTGTTTAGGGAGAAGTAGAACATATACATTATTTTAAGTTTGTAAGAAGGTTGTCACCCGTTTACTTCTATCACACCTTTAACCTTGGATGGTACCTGTTACGTCTCACTTGACCTGCACTATAGAGGAGTTCCTGCTCCCCAAAATCTGATGAAGTTTCATCTTTCACCTGTGAAAAAAAATGAAATTAGCTATATAGATGCTAAAGGATAGATACTACACTAAGTGCCCAGCTTTAAACTGGCACAGTAGATAATGGGACCATTTCTCATATGGACATCCTTCAGCTGAAGGTTTTATTCTTATTCCTATAAAAGGAAAAAAAAAAGTTTGGATTATTCTATTTCAGAAACAGATTAATAATTCAAGCCCAGGATACATAGGTCTCACAACAAATTATAGCACAGATTATTTCATAGGGAGTTTATTCAATAACAAAATATAATATTCTAGTACAAAGCCATCACTTTATCACATACATTTTTCTATGCAGTTAGAATTTGCCCTGTGCATTTAAAATTGTCCTGCACAGTAAATAGATTTTCATTAAAATATTTATTTTAAATCTTATATTTTTTCAGGAGCAATGAGGAGAGGTGGGTGTCACATTTTGTATTTCACCTGCATCCTTTTGCATTTTGATGTAAGGCAGCAGAATGCCTGCTACTATTTAATTAAACAGGAATCTGGATTAACTCCAGCTGTGGGCTGTGTAATCAGGCCTTGTGAGTGTGTTCAAAAAGGGGTGTTTTCCCTGGCTCATATTTCATTCCTGCATGGAAATCTGCTCTCACTCAAACCTGTCCACATGCTGCAGTAAATGATTTTCCCTCCCTTCTGAATCATATGCTTAGGCACCCCCACTACAATTCTTTGAAAAGAAACAAAAAGGCACAAACAGCTTGACTGGTCCACTTACACTAACTACTATTTAATGACGAGAGGCTTTGCTTGTTCATGTATAAATCTACCATTTATTCGAGTTTATACCATAATGACTGTAAGATCTATTAAATTGTTTTGTGCAGATTTATGTTATTCTCTCCAGATGATGACAATTTAATTGCTGTTGCCCATGGCTTAAGATGAGCTCAATTCTCAGAAGTGAATTTACCTTTCCTTGAACATGCATATCACCATCATGGATGACAAACACACTTCTGATTCTTTCTACTTCTCTAAGTACTTTTGCTGCCATTCAAAATGATAAATCATACATAAAATAAACATGATAAGTCTGGTTGAAACTACAAATTTTTTTTTGTCCTAATAGAGGTCAATTATCCCAAACCCATATATATATTTTGAGAAGAGTTTACCCCATCTATGAACATCAACACGTTCAAGTCTGAGTATAAATGAGTGACAGTGAAAATGTATGTATAAATTCATGAACTGGCACATCCATGAGAGTTTGTAATCATATTTTATTTTCAATAGTCTTTTCTGAGTATGCACTTTGCCTCTTTAGATGTCATCATTGATCTATGGTGGTGCTTTTGACAGAATATATCTCAACCAACATAAGAGACAATTGTCAAATAGATGTTGCTCATTGTTCATTTCCATAGGCTGGACATCTTTTTGTGGTAATTCGATATGGCAAGTTTTCTCAAGCTATCAGCAGAGATTCAGACTACAGATGATAATGAAAACTAAATCAGAGTTCATCATGCATAAAAGATTCTGAAACTTTGAATTTTTTAAATTTTTTAGCTTGTGTGGAGGTTACAGATGGGTAAACTCAAAAACGTTTGGCCTTACCACAATATTAGATTTGCTGGCCAAACATCACCTGCCAAAACAAACTAGAAATAAATGGCTCTCCATTTTCAGCAGAACAGAGCCATTTTCCCTCCCTTTTTTATTTCTATTTTAGTCTTTCTTCCAATCCACCAGCATGAAAAGACTGTTGAATGTAATTCTGGAAAATACATCCAAATGTTTTAGACTTTCTGATAAATTTTCTCAAGGAGATTGGAAGTGGCAATTTTGATCACTACAGATTGCATATTTGAGTTATACAGAGTCTTACAGAGACAAATAGTTGCATGTGGCAGGATGTTTCTTTGTCTGCCATATAGTCCTATAGTCATTCTCTGAGGAAAGAGAAATTTTAGATCTCACTTTCTTTCTGTTCCTAGGGATTTTTTTTAATTGAAGGAGCAAAATTAGTCTACATTTTCTTTTTTGTCTTCAGAATGTTATCTAATTTATTATCTAATGGTGTTCTTCACTGCTTTTCCACCTACCCTTCATGCCAGTCCTTACAAAAAAAACTAGAATTGCAGTACTTGTATCTATAATGTTTCTCGTCAAGACAGTGGGTGAGGAAGTTTTAATGTCAGTCCTAGAATATTCTCTGATGAGATTCTAATTAAGTTGCCAGTATAGAGAAAATTAGAAAATCACAGCAGTTTAAAGCTTAACCTTCAAGGAAGCTTGAGCAGATATGAATAACACTGTTTCTGAAGGATGGCGTGAGTGCAGTTGCAGGCGCTAATGTGAAGCGATGCATGTTCAGTACATCATCTTTCCACACTGTTAAGTGGAGCAAGTCATAGTGCAAGTGTATGTTTAAGTCCTTGAGGATATAAGATATACTCTTATTCTTGAAGGGAATGGTAGTGACCAAGGTAGTTTAAATGAAACCATATGGTCAAGAGTATTTTCTGTTCTTCTTATTTCTGCCTCCAATCCAGGTCACCTACAGAATTTCACTGTTCCCAGTTCTCATCTGCCATAAACAACCAGATAAGTTTGTATGACATCTGAATTTTTGCAGCAAACTCAGATTTATGATTACACATATATCCAGTTTCTCTTTCTGGATGGAGAGCTGCTTGTCTCAGATTTTATATTATGCTCACAATTCTAATATTTCATTGCATATATACGTAATGCAACAACTTCGTATATACGTATGCTTACATTCCACTCATTTGGAGATCAGGAAAGCAAAGTGAAAAACTGCTCATACACACATTTTTATGTGCTATCCTTTTATCCTTCTTCTGAGTGAATAAACACAGGGACTGCTCTGTGCAGACATATTTCAGCAATAACTTGCAGCTTTAACAACATTCCAGATTTTTGCTTCCTCCTCTCTTTCTAATACTGCTGTGCTTTTCAGCCTCAAAGACAGCACAAGTCAGCCAGGCAATCCTGTGACAAACTCCACTAAGGACTTCACAGTTAACAAAACAATGAATGAAACATCATTCTGGCACACAGAACAGCTTTCTGCTGTCTTCTGCCGCCTTTGATTTTTTTTTCCCCAAGTGGAAAAGCAACTTCAAAAACAAGGTGCTGTCATTTTAGCAAAGGAGAATTAGGACTGTGAAAGGATGAAGTGTCCTTGCACAGAAAGACTGCAGCTAAAATTGTATCAATATTCCTGTTATAAACTGATAAACACAGAGCTCCGTGAGGTCAAGTTGTACATGCTTGAGCTGACATGCCAATCTGCCAGCAGTCATATGGTTCTCATATGGCGACACGCCACAGATGCCAGGAAAATGTGAGAAGTTTCTGGCTCATTTCATTTCACTCTCCTGAATGCCATGTTTGCCTGCACACACACACACACACACACACACACACACACACATACACACACACAGAGTAGATTTTCTGTTTTAAATAGAGCTATTGTAGCCCATGTATTCCTATTTTCTTAAAAGGATTTGCAATAACTCACCCAAGCTGATTCCGAGACTTCATAGCAAGACTTGTCTTGGAAATGAGAGCAGGTTTGTCGTTTTCTTTTTTGGTGGTTTGTTTTTTTTTTTTTTTTGCAAGCCTTCAAAACACTCCTCTAGCCATTTTTAAATGACATCAAAAGACAGAATTAGAAAAAGAGACAGACAAGATAACAACACATCATATGTGGATGATTTATAATATACATTTAGGGAAAGAAATCTGAAAAGTTTCAGTCATCTCAGAACATGACTTCTTCCATTCTCTAACAACACTAAACAGCTCTTATTAATGCTTGAACAGCAGAAAGTATTTCTTTCTTTGGTTCTGTTTCTTCAATGTGCATTTTTGTATCAACAGTATAATGCCTCTGTCGCATGGACTGACATGATAGTACATTAACAATTGTCTATATTCATATTTGGTAAATAGACCACAATTATTCATTGAGTATATAATGCACAATTTACAATTTGTTGAAATATGTATTTCCACATCAGACCATCTTTCAAGCTTTTACAGTCTTTTGTGTCAGGTTCAATTGTCTTCAAGAGGAATTGTTTTCCTTTTCTTTCTTTTAAACTGTTACTAAAGGGAAAAGGCTGAGACAAATATAACTACAGTTATTTTTAATGAAAAGGCTTTCTTCTATGACTGAAAGCATGCACTTCACCCTTGCCTCACCAAATCCAGATACTGTCATTTTAAATGAACGTAATTCAAAATTTTAATGCAAAAACATAAACTGGTCTTAGGCTTAAAATGTGAAAGAGGAAAAATGCACAAAATGTGTGTATGTGTGTACATGTGTGTATGCACATGTTGCACCCACACATGCAACTGTGCAAGGAATGGTGATTTCTCCATGCAGGACAAAGTTTGAAGTTAGTACACCTCTGGCACCTCACTTACCTCTGGTCAGAAATCTCTCTCTTCAAGAACATTAAAAATACCACATTTCTGGCAGCTTCAAACATATGAGTCTACAGGAAAGTAATTTTTTTCTTTTCTGGTATTAAGTTTTGCCTCCTTAGGCTCACACTTTATAAAAGTTTGAGATAAGGATTCTGAATCAGGAGCAGGCAATAACTTTCTCATGTGTAAATACGCAGGATTTGGTGCTATTACCCCCTAAATTTATAAAACCAAGAACAAGAAATAACAGAAAAATTCCCCTTGCTGTGAAGGTCTGTGCATTTCAAAAAAATATATTTACATTTTTTTTTACTTCCATTTACACATCACTTTTTAATCAAGGGAGAAAGGTCAGCTCAGACAGTAGCCTACCTTTGAGGAAAACCAATTTTGAGTCCTAGCATAACCTGCACAATCCTGTTCCTAAATCTTTAATTAAAGTACTGCCCCTCATCGCTTTCCTTAAACCTGTTATGTTTTTGCATTTGACCTCTAAATGTAGGGAACCAGGAATGCTTCTGATCTTGTGGGTTCAAATGAATGTC